CATAAATAAAATCTTAAAAAAAAGGGAAAGAAAAGGAAAGAAAGCTGGAGTAGCATTACTTACATTGGACAAGATAGACTTTAAAACAAAGGCTGTAACAAGAGACAAATAAGGACATTATACAATAAGAAAGGGGACAATCCAACAAAAAGATATAATTGTAAATATTTATGCACCCAACATGGGAGGACCCAAATACATAAAATAGTTAATAACAAAAATAAAGGAACTAATCGATAATAATACAATAATAGTAGAGCACTTTAGCACCCAACTACATCAATGGACAGATGATCTAAACAGAAAATCAACAAGGAAACAATGAATTTGAATGACACTCTGGACCAGATGGATTTAACAGATATATTCAGAACATTCCAGCCTAAAACAGGAGAATATGCCTTTTTTCAGGCACATATTGAACATTCTCCAGAAAAGATCACATATTAAGCCACAAAACAATCCTTGACAAATTCAAGAAGACTGAAGTCATACAATGCATCTTTTCTGATCACGCTATTAAACTAGAAGTCAACCACAAGAAAAAATTTGGAAAGATAACAAATATAATGAGGTTAAATAACATGCTAATAAGCAATGAGTGGGTCAAACAGGAAATAAAAGAAGAAATTTAAAAAGTATATAGAAACAAATGAAAATGAAAACACAAGGTCCAAAACCTTTGGGATGTAGCAAAAAAAGTTCTAAGAGGGAAGTTTATAGCAATATAGGCCTACCTTAAGAAGCAAAAAAAAAATCTCAAATAAACAACCTACTCTTACACTCAAAGGAGCTAGAAAAAAGAACAAAAAACAAAACCTAAAACCAGCAGGAAGGAAGTAAAAAAGATTAGGGCAGAAATAAATGATATAGAAATTAAAAAAAAAACAACAATAGAACAGATCAATGAAACCAGGACCTGGTTCTTTGGAAAAAAATCAGTAAAACTGATAAACCTCAAGCCAGACTTATCAAGAAAAAAAGAGAAAGGACTCAAATAGATAAAATCACAAATGAAAGAGGAGAAATAACCACCACCACCACAAAAATACAATTATAAGAGAATATTATAAAAAACTATCTGTCAACAAATTGGACAACCTGGAAGTAATGGATAAATTCCTAGACTGAATCAGGAAGAAATAGAAAAATTGAATAGACAACCAGCAAAGAAATTGAATCAGTAGCGAAAAAACTCCAAACAAACAAAAGTCTTATTGATACATCACATCAATAAGAGGATAAGAACCATCTGATCATTTCAATAGACACAGAAAAAGCATTTTACAAAGTACAATATCTATTCATGATAAAAATCCTCAACATAGTAGGTTTAGAGGGAACATAACTCAACATAATAAAGGCCATATATGAAAAACCCACAGCTAACATCATCCCGAATGGGGAAAAACTGAGAGCCTTTCTCCTAAGGTCAGGAACAAGATATGGATGTCCACTCTCTTCACTTTTATTCAACCTAGTACTGGAAGTCCTAGCCACAGCAATCAGACAACAACAAAAATAAAAGGCATCCAAATTGGTAAAGAAGAAGGAAAACTTTCACTTTTTGCAGATGACATGATGCTAATATATAGAAAACCCAAAGACTCCACCAAAAAACTACTAGAACTGCTAAATGAATTCAGTAAAGTTGCAGGATATAAAATCAATGTACAGAAATCTGTTGCATTTCCACATACCACTACAGAAGCAGCACAAAGAGAAATTAAGAAAACAATCCCATTTACAATTGCACCAAAAATAAGAAGATATCTAGGAATAAACCTAACCAAAAAGGTGAAAGATCTGTACTCTAAAAACTATAAAACACTGATGAAAGAAACTGAAGATGATACAAAGAAATGGAAAGATATTCCATGCTCATGGATTGGAAAAACATATGATTAAAATGTCTATACTACTCAAAGCAACCTACACATTTAATGCAATCCCTATTGAAATACCAACAGCATTTTTCACAGAACTAGAACAAACAACCCTAAAAGTTGTATGGGACCACAAAAGACCCCAAATAGCCAAAGCAATTTTGATAAAGAAAAGCAAAGCTGGAGGGATCAAAATTCCAGATTTCAAGTTATATTACAAAGCCATAATAATCAAAACAGTATGGTATTGGCATAAAAACAGACACATAGATCAATAGAACAAAATAGAAAATCCAGAAATAAATTCACAATTATATGGTCACAACACACACAAAACGCATACACCACACACACACCAAAAAAAATCATGCAAATAGTAACCAAAAGAGAGCTGGAGTGGCTCTATTACTATCAGACAAAACTGACTTTAAGACAAAAGAACATATATAATGCAAATTTTTGTTTTGGAAGTTTGCCAAAGGCTTTTTGAAATAGAACTATTTTTCTTCTTTATCCATGTATTTGCTGCTACAAATTCTGAGAATAAATAAGGTTTTACTGCCACTTACATAAACACATCACCATCTATTAAATCACGCTTTCTTACACATTCAAATTTCTATTCTCGGTGTATAGCACACAATTCTGCTTTTTAACATTTTACCAACTGCATTATATATACATATAGTGTATATATATAGTGTGTATACAATATATATGTGTATATTGTATACACACTATATACACATGTAATATTGTATATACAGTGTGTACATATAGTACATATATACCTAATGTTGTGTATATATCTATATAGTGTATGTGTATATATACTTTTTTTTTAAGTAGACTCCATGCCCAGAGTGGAGCCCAATGTGGGGTCCAAACTCATAACCATGAGATCAAGACCTGAGCCGAGATCAAGAGTCAGATACTTAACTCACTGAGCCGCCTAGGCACCCCCAACTGCATTACAATATATATATATATTTTTTCCCTAGAGTTGAGATTTATAGATATTAAGTTAGAGAAAAAGAACACAGAATTCAAGAAAGCTCTTAATATTTCTTAAAGAACTTCTGAAAAACCTTAATCATATGTGTTTCTCATTTAATGAACTATTAATTTTCATTAGGAATGAAATAATCTCCTTTTCCAAGAAACTTAAAACCCTATACCAGACATATGTGTCGGGGCGCCTGGGTGGTTCAGTGGTTAAGCATCTGCCTTCGGCTCAGGTCATGGTCCCAGGGTCCTGGGATCGAGCCCCGCATCGGGCTCCCTGCTCTGCGGGAAGCCTACTTCTCTCTCTCCCACTCCCCCTGCTTGTATTCCCTCTCTCGCTGTGTCTCTGTCAAATGAATAAATAAAATCTTAAAAAAAAAAACAAACACATATGTGTCTAGAGAATTAATAAGAGGTAGAAATTAAGGACTGTCAAAAAAAATCTGCAATCTACAAAGACCAGTCTTTGTCTTAGAAAGAAGGTATCAACAGCATAAATGTACATAATACTCTGCAGATTTAAAAGGCATTTTCTATATATTACATTATTTGATCCTTTCAATAACCCTTGTGAGATGGCAGAGTAAGTTCTGTTTCCCCCATTTTACACATTAAGAATCAATGCTCAGTAGAGACCACGTGAGTCCCAGCAAGATGGTTAGTAAGTTTCAGAGTCAAGCTCTTCTGATTTGACATCCATTACTCTTTCCTTAATCCCACAATGCCACTAGAGACACAACCATAAGGCACAATTATGTTCTTATTCTTTTCTAACTTACAAAGTAATAATAGTGAGAACTACAGAGAAATAATGTACAGGTGGCTCAATCAGATTCTTTTTTTTTTTTTTT